ATCATCTTAAAGTTGTTGGCTGTTTATGTTATGCATCTACTCTCACTGCTCATAGATCTAAATTTGCACCAAGAGCATCTAAATGCATCTTTCTTGGCTATCCATTAGGTTCTAAAGGATATAAGCTTTACAACTTGGATACCAAGAACACAATGATATCCAGAAATGTTCAGTTCTATGAGTCTATTTTTCCTTTTGCCAAAACAGTCAATGACAGTCCTCCTACTTTATTTCCCCCTCCCCCTGATGATTTTTTTCCTGATCACAACTCTTTACCTCCTTTACAAACAGGAACTATCCCTCCCACTTTACACAACCCCTCCTCTCCAACACATCCCTCCCCTACCACACATTTTTCCCCTACTGCACATTCCTCCCCTACTGCTCATTCTCAAAATTCCATTACCCCAACCTCCTCACATACTCAATCTCCAACAGTCTTACCTATTGTCCCTACAAGAAAATCCAACAGAACAACAAAAATCCCAGCATACTTGAACATCTATGATCACAACATCAAACCATCCTCCAACTTTACCCACACTGAACATCATATTTCTGGGACAACCCCTTATCCAATTCAAAACTATTTGTCCACACACAATCTATCATCATCACATTCTTGTTTCACTGCAGCAATTTCAAAACTTACTGAACCTACTTCTTACACTCAAGCTGCCAAAGATCCACTTTGGCAGGCTGCAATGAAAAAGGAACTTAATGCATTAGAAACCACCAACACCTGGTATTTAACTGATCTTCCTGAAGGTAAAAACTGTGTTGGCTGTAAATGGGTATATAAAATAAAGTATAAATCTGATGGTAGTGTTGAAAGATATAAGGCAAGGTTGGTTGCCAAAGGCTATACACAGGAGGAAGGCATTGATTACTTTGATACCGTCTCTCTTGTGGCCAAAATAACTACTGTTAGATTTCTTGTAGCTCTTGCATCTATTAAAAACTGGACAATCCAACAATTGGATGTCAATAATGCATTTCTGCATGGGGATCTTGATGAAGAGGTTTACATGAAACCTCCCCCAGGGTACTGTAGTAAATCTGATAAAAGAGTTTGTAGATTAACCAAAAGCCTTTATGGCCTGAAACAGGCCTCAAGACAATGGTTTCACAAACTCACAACTTGTTTACTTTCTTATGGCTTTACACAATCTGTGGCTGATTGCTCCTTGTTTACCCTTTCTGATGGAGATATTTTTATTGCTTTACTAGTATATGTTGATGATGTGATCATAGCTGGTAATAACAATGAGAAAATATCTGCTATTAAATCTCATTTGGACAAGTGTTTTACTATTAAAGATTTGGGAACCTTGAAATATATTTTAGGCATTGAATTTGCCCATTCTGACAAAGGTATTAACATGTGCCAAAGGAAATATGCACTTGATATTTTAAAAGATACAGGTTTCCTTGGCTGCAAACCTGCTCACACACCAATGGATCCTCTTTTAAAACTCAGTGCACATTCAGATACAGCAGAGCCCACAGATGCTTCAGAATACAGGAGGTTGGTAGGTAGACTTCTTTACCTTACTATCACTAGACCAGACTTAGCATATAGTGTTCACATTCTTAGCCAATTCATGTCAAATCCCTCTAAACAACATTTATCAGCTGCACACAGAGTCCTTAGGTATATTAAGGGCTCTGTAGGTAAAGGGTTGTTCTTTTCAAAATCATCTAAGTTACAATTACATGCTTTCAGTGATAGTGATTGGGCAGGATGTTTGGACACTAGGAAAAGTCTAACTGGTTATAGTGTTTATCTTGGTGATTCCCTTATATCTTGGAAATCTAAGAAACAATCTACTATAAGTAGATCTTCAGCAGAAGCTGAATATAGAGCTCTTGCATCCACATCTTGTGAAATACAATGGCTCTTATATTTGTTTACAGATCTACACTTAACCCATCCCTCCCCAGTTGTTATTTTTTGTGACAGCAAATCTGCTATAGCCATTGCCTCCAATCCAGTATTCCATGAGAGAACAAAACATATTCAAATTGACTGTCACCTCATCAGAGAGAAGCTCAGCCAGAAGATCATCACACTCCAGTATATTCCCACAAAGGAGCAGGTGGCAGACATTCTAACAAAACCACTTGCTGGGCCTACTTTCTCTTATCTTGAAGCCAAGCTACACATGTCCAACATTCATGTATAGCTT